GATATAGTGTACTTTCTGACAAATCACGGATTTGCATTGCACTGCAAAACCACACAAGACTACAATACCCTTAAAAAAGGACGCACTAGCTCTCGAACCCTTGTTCCCTCAAAAAGATCATACATTTCAAATTAAAAACTAAACAAAAGCTTTAATAATTGATTTTCCTGCTCAACAAAATGGACTCTAGCAGACACACATGCCATACTTCCTGACTGACAGAAGCTCATAGAGTTGAAAATATTTTAAATCCAGTAACCACTTATATTCCCAGCAAGACTAAGTGTCCCCAGGAAGGCAGCGGAGTTTCAAAAGCACAGGAATGCTGGAATCCAGCGCTCGCTCTGAAATCTGGGTGCTGCCCAAATTTCACTGTTACTAGGTCTCACTGTAGAACAAATGTTTCCCTATTTAATAGTGAAATTGCTATGTACAATTACTATTTACCAATTATTATTTAATAGCTAAGGACTGGGGTATCTTTACATCAATTTAAAAACCATCAGCCACCCACCAAATCTACACGCAGTGTTCTGGGTGGTTCCTGCTTCTCTGAGCTGTTCTTTTGCCTTAGCTGATGGTAGGTTACAAGAAGATGAAAGGAAAACACTCCAAAGTTTTTAAAAATATAAATACTGTTATCTATTTCTCACATACCTATCGTTGCTCTACATGGAAGAAGGAATAGTTTTGTTTATTTACTGTTCCAATTTTAATTAAGCAAAGGCTTTAGACCTACAGCTTGCACGAGATGAAGATAAACAACTGCTTTGGAAGTCAGGAAAATTAAAACCAGCAAGACTACATTACATAGCTGTTCTCTGTTCCCAGAAAGAAAAGGGCCTGTAAGAAAGCAAGCGTTCATTTACATCCCACAAACACCTCAGTTACAAGTCTTTTAAAGTCATTTATACAACTGCTGGGGTAAAAAGCAAACACAGAAATCCAGCAAAGCTGATCTAATGTGGCCCCTTTTGGGTTTATGATTGTTCAGATCAGTTTTGAATGGATTTTCCTGAAAACAGAGGTGCTTTATTTGCCACGACTTTTCAGGGCGCAGAACAAAACCGTGACCCCT